TAAATCAATCTCGCATGTATGAATACAGAATAGTATCCCTAATGTAAGTAATGATTCAAATATATAAAAATATGTGATAATCATGATTCCCCATTATGTGGCCTTGAAGCCTTATAAAATTTTCACTTATTAATTAGAAAGGCTTTATTCTGGGCTTCTTGATATGGAAATATTTGAAGCTATAGTATATGAAGTTTTATCCAAATATTTTAAGGAAAAAGACAGACACTATGGTAACTACTATTCTTTTAAAAAATTATTTAGCTATTTTTTATGTTTATTTTAATTAAGGGAAAAATTTTAAAAATTTAGGATATATAATAGTAACTCTTTTCGATCTCCTATTAACTTGTTTTGAAGTCCTGTAATACTCCCACGATCTTGTTCTGACTGATTAGACTCTGTTCCATTCTGTGCGATAGTAGCAAGTCTGAGGGTATAGGCAACTACTTTGAAGGCAATAAGATTCACTAAGATGCCCATTCTGGTTTGACTATTGTCTCCTTTGGAAGTCCTGTAATGTTCACAATGCCTAAGTTTTATTGGTCTTGTTCTCTACTGTTTTGTCCAACTTTATAATATCTAATGAGATAGACAATTCCTTTTAAGGAAACAAGAGACAACGTTGACAACCATTGTTGATAACCTTGTACTCTGTTCTACATCATGTGCTATGTCTATCCTTGGTTTTGACTTACAGCTTTGTTTTGCCATATTTGACTTTATTCTCTCCCCCCAAAAAAGTAATAAGAACTAAGGAGTAATAAAATCCAAAATGTGTAAATTTTGTTGTAAAAAAGAGAGGGAGGAAAAAAAAAAAGAGCTCTAACGGATATAACAGCAAGTGTGTTTAGGTGTGTTAACTAGCTGACTATATTAATGTTTTTGGATCATTGAACACAGCTGTTTGCAGTCTCTCTGTTTGAATGTCTACTTTGTATTCTTTGATACTGTGATTTGAGCAACTATTTCCAAGATGATAATATGTAATCTATTAACAGGTGATTTTTTACTGTTATGTTTTTTCTTTTGTAGTTCTGTATTATGTGTAACCTTACACTGCTTTGTTTTGTTTTGTGTTTTTCTCTTTTTCCTCTTAAATAAAAAAAAAAGAATTGATGATTTTAGCCCAACATATTTTATTGTGCATTTCAAAAAGACACTTGGTGTGGCCCAGGTGGTCTGAAGATGTGGTTGTGGGTGGATGGACTTAAGAATGTATTTGTCCCTCTAGTCTGTAAACCTAGAGCCTATGGTTATAGTTTGTACTTCTGATTTGCTTTCTCGTCTGTGCTCAGATGGATGCAGAATAAATTTATATAGTGGGCTCCAAAGACTGTAATGATTTAATATAGAAATTATGAGGAAGCATAAGGATAGACAGAACTATGAATCTAATTTTCCATGTGAATTTGCATCCTTCATGTAGTAGAGCTGTACTTATGTTGGCACACTGGTTTTAATAAGGCTTGAATGAATGTAAAATCATTTAAGAGAAAAACTGCCATGACCATGAAGTTAGGTTAGAAACAGAAAGGGAATATACACTGCATCAGACCAGCTGGGCTAAGCAAAAAGGAACAGGCCTCAGTTCCTAGGGAAACTCATGCAAATCCAACATCCTCATTTCCACCAAGAGTGTTGATATCATATAATACATTCCACTGATCTTCCCACTCCTTACACTTTTGTTTCACATTGAAGTACTTTTTCCTCCTTGGCTGCATCTCACTCCTTTTTTCCTAACTCCTAGATCATCTGAGAGAAGATGTAGGGAATCTGAGGAAGACTGCTATGTGAAGACAAACCCTGGCCCAAAATATGGTGCCATCCATCTGTAGGCCAGTATTAGATACAGAAGAAACTTTTGACCCAACCCACATGGCCTGTTCCCTGAAGATGGAGCAAACAGCATGTGTGGAACATCAGATACTGCTGAGCTTAAAACTGAGGGCTCAGACTGGGAGGCACTGATAATACTCTAGTTATGGCCACAGGAAGACATGAAACTGAAGGACAGGCTGATATTAATGCCATTGTCATACTCTGCATGGTACAAGCACCAAAATATGTTGTATATATACACAGTGGAAAAATATTCAGATATAAAGAGAAACACCTGTCATGTGGCTACAGTGATGAAACTGCAGGACATTATGTTAAGTAACTGCTATGAATGCTGTAATCTGTGCTCCTTCCAGAGGTGTACATTTACATGTGTAAATACAGATACATATAAACATATTTGTCTTTGCATTTTTATGGTATTATATTCTATTCTACAATTAAGGAAAGACCTATAGTAGATCCATCTCAAAATGGAAGAATTCACAATTTCTCTGCAAAATCTGCCCAGTCAAACGCCTGATTTGTGGCCTAGAATCTTAATTATGGTCATCGTGCCCTGGCTTTATTGCAGACCTTTGCTCATCTGTATAATTGCTAAATATATAAATGAAAGGGCTCCTCACTCTATCAACCCCAAGATATTCATATATATATATATATATATATATATATATATATAGAGAGAGAGAGAGAGAGAGAGAGAGAGAGAGAGAGACAGACAGACAGACAGACAGACAGACAGAAACTTAGTCTTTCCTCCACAGAAAACATTCAAGTCAGTAATATCACATGGCATGGAAAAAATTTGGGAAAGCTTATTTCACATACTGTGAACTTGATTTGTGCAGATTCATATTCTCCATCATCTATTTCTATCTCTGTCTCTCCTTTGACTACAGAGTAATAACGATTGACCCCAGGCCCTTCATAATGAGTTACATCTCCAGCCTTTTTGTGTTTTATTTTGTGACAGGATTTTGCTAAGTTGCCCAGGTGGGATGCGAACTTCCTCTTACCTGAACCTCCCAAAGTTCTTGGCAATATAGGTATCTGCCACCTTGTCTAGTTTTTACTGATATATGAGAAAACTGAAACAACTTTGAACCAAGAACATAAGATTTCCAAGACATTAACCCTTATTCAAAAACAAAAAAAGAACAACAGACAGCTCAGTTATTTTTTTTCTTCCTCTAGTTAAATAAGTTTTAAAATTGTCAGGGAAGGAAGTTTACTGACATGATATTAAATAAGCACATGATACTTGGGAGCTAATATACCTGTTATCCCCCAAAAGACAATGGAAACCTGAGCGTCTTTGGAGTTGCTTGTCTTATTTCATTCTGAGATAGAATGTCACAACATTGCCCAGATGGGCCTTGAACTCCTGGGCTAAAGCAGTTCTTATTCTTATGCCTAACCTCCTGAATAGCTGTGACTAGAGGTGTATGTATCTCTGTGTTTCTCTCTCAGTCTCTCTCTGTCTCTTTCAATAGGAGGAGGGCTGGGGATCAAACCTAGGACCTCATGCATGCAGAACATGTCCTTAGACCAGAATTGGAATTTGCTTCTGTGTTTGGTGGGGAGTGTGCTGCCAGTGGAATCCAGGGTCTTAAGCATGCTAAATGTTCACACTATCACTGCACAACACCCTTGGCCTCAGCTTGTCATCATAGAAGTTTGCTGGAAATCATCTTCTTCTGGAAAAGGCTTTAAACATCAAAATTTGTAACTGCTACAAAGGATCAGTACTCTTTACTGGACACCTAGAATGGAATGACATATGGATCTCACACAGTAAGCTTAAATTCACAAAAAATGGATCTTAATACTTCCCAGATTGTGAAAATAGTGGGGACAGTTGGAAAAATCTTAATTAAGAAAGCAACAGACTGGAGTAACATATCCTCCAGGTGCCAAACTGATTACATCCTCATAATCCCATCCCCATTCCAAACACTTGGAGTAACAAAGAACAGGAGCTTTTTAAAAAGTATGCATACCTATTTCTACAGAATAAGTCGATATTTTTCTGGTTATACAAGTTACTAGCTCATAAATTATTTTTAAAATTCAAAACAATCAGGGGTTTTTGTGAATAAAAGTAAACATCATTTAAAAGACCCCCTTTTAGTTATTCAAAAGCAAGAATATGTCCAATTCAGCTGCATTATGGTTCAAAAGGTCTCTAATCTTGAAATCCCTGTTGTGGCCTGTGAGGTGCTTATGAATTCCTTTTCCTCTTAGCTCTTTGTTCCTCAGGTCAGCTAAGTGGTGGTGGAGGCAGCATGAAAATACCAAGGAAACCAAGGAACACTCAATATCCCATCAAATTAGTCCACCTATAGGGAAATCTTATACGAGTGAGTGGAGAAAATATTTCATTTTTTATCTCAGGAGCCCTCTCACCTCAGGCTAGGTAGTGATTCTTGTGGGTTCTAACTCAACGCTTCTCATCTTGAAGTATGAGACTGACAGGGGTCAACAAGAATGCATGCAAGAGAACTGAAAATGTGAGCTCAGGGTGAATGACAGAGGAAACAAACATGGAACAAGGGAGGCATGAGTGATCTCAGCAAGGAACCTTTCCATTACTTAGAAAGTTGCCTTTTGCCGTTTGCACTGAGTTAATGCTAGAGCAGATTAGCCCAGTAGTAAAGTTCTCACCTAGCATGTATGAGGCTCTGAGTTAAACCCAGCCACACAATCAGAAAAACTGATCTCTGATCTGGACCCCAGCTAGGTTTTGGTTCTTCTGATCATTGTATTTCCTGAGGTCCTGAAACATAAAGTAAAAGAGCTCCTCAGTCTATGGTCCTATATTCCTTTCCTGGACTCTCTGCCTTTACAGAAGTAGCAGAAAACAATGGGGCACTCGGTCCACATTCATGGTCAGTGCTCCGAGAAGGACCTGGTGCCTTCAACCTGAGATTGCCTCTGTTCATACCATCAACTTCCCTACTTTCTACAAGGAAACCTCAAGTCTATCCTTTAAGCCCAAATCCCTGCAACAGAATGAGGAGATAAATCCAAAACACCTCTCTCCATTTCCTACGGAGGAGTGGGAATATTTAAAAGATTGGAGTGAATTTATTCTTCCTTGGGTGCACCTCAGTCTTATAAGTTGTGGCTAACTTTATTCCTCATACTTCTAGGTATGAAAATTTTGCTTGGCAGAGTTGATGAAAAGCCTGAACACTATGCTTGGACTCTGAAGATGTTCACAGTTAGAATCTCCTGTTTGCACCGTTGCTGTTGTCTCCTGAGTCCCCAAGAAGGTGAAGGACTACTTCAAGCTCTAAGAAGCAATTCTCAGGACCTTCTGAGATTCAGGGATGATAATGAAAATGTGTCTCAATGGAGCCCACTATTATGAGGTGGAAGGTGGATAGTCCCTCCCTCCAGGTCTTAATCAGGATCTTCAGCTGACTCCAGGCAAGGCCTGCCTGTACCTCTGTCATCTGTTGGTTTAACCTCCTTCTCAGACCAAAGCACTGGTTATCTCTGAAGAGAAAGCAGGAGTGGAGGACTCCCAAGTTGAGCAGCAAGGGCCAGACAATGCTGAGTCTCCTCTGATCTGGAGTGAGTGACCTCTACCTTGGTTCAAGGGAGGACCTGAGCCTCATTCAATCTGCTGACCTATAATTAACCTTCTCAACCCAATGACACACCCCATGATAGCCTAGAAAAGAAAGCAAGGGGAGTCTCAGCTGGCACTCTTTTTCCAAGTGCCTCCCAAGCCTGATAACAGGTGAGAGTCTATGGGGCCACCTTGGGTTAGAGATGAGTGATCTCCTTGGTCCTTCTAGGGGTACTATATCAGATTTATATTACTAAAGGAAGTTTGTAAAAGTTAATTCCACCCAAAGAGAAGCCTGTCCTTTACCTTCGGCTTTCAGGAGACAATTTCTAAACACCTAGAAATCCTACCTAATAATAGTGTTCTTGTTTACCTAGAAGTCTGGGGAGAAGACACATAGTTTATACTAACAATGATTTATGATGGAAGATTTGGGTCCCATGGTATTAAACAGACCTCCAGAGGGGCTAAAGAATAAATTTGACCAAATGGCTGGTCAGCAATGTCTTCATGAATTAATACCAATAACAATTTTGGAATTCAGGGTTAGATGAACTTCTTCAATGTACAATATTCCATAAGTATTGTCGCACATTGTTGCTAGAAGTTAGCTGTGCTGTTGACTTTGTAAGGAAAGTTAAATTGGAAGCTCTGCATGGAATTTTCTGTGTGATTTTTCTTTTGGCTGATTTTAATCTATATCCTTCACTGCAGTAATCCCTAGCCATGGGCATATTGGCTTTCTGTGAATTCTGTGAGTCCTTCTAGCAGATTATCAAACCTCAGGTTGGTCATGGAGACTACTGAACTTGTAGTGGATTTCAGATGTGAGAGTGGTCTTGGGGAATGTTGAATTTTAGAAGTCTTAAGCTTGACTGCTATCAAGATCTGAGATTCCTTTCTCTGCTAACGTTCCGTTGGCCTTTCTTCTTAGATGAAGGAACTACCTCACAGGCAACACTTCAGAGGAAGAGACTGTGCATGTCTAATTTGGGACCCTGAAACAGGCAGCACTGTAACTGGGAAGCTAGATCCTAACCAGGCAAAGTCCTAACACCAAATCCAAGGATTACTAGAATAAAAATTAGAATGGTTATCAATCTTTTTCACACAGTTGATCTAGAAAGCCAAGCCCAACAGAAGTAAAAGATTAAAACATAGTTGAATAAGGGACATGGTAATTGAATGCCTATCCTCAGATTTATAGGGTCTCTTATAGGCACCACTGGATGAGCCCATATCCTTTATAAGCACAAATGAGCAGAAAGATAATTAATAATAAAGGACCCAATTAGGAGATGATTACTCAAGGTGCATGCAGCCCTCTGTGGGAAGGTAAGATAGGGATGCTATGGTATGTACTTAACTGAAGTATACTCAAACATGTATTTAAAGTCTCTCAAAGGTTGGCTTTGCCAAGATAATGGGATCTCTGTAGGGGCTTCTCATTTCCCAAGTTTGACTCAGTAATGATGGATCCAGCTGGTAATTTCTGAAAACTTGATAGCTTTTGAAGAAGAGAGAAGTACCAAGAAAGGGCCCTTCCAAAGAGGAATCAATCATTAACCTTGTGGGCCCTCCCCTCATATTTTAAAGAGAACTAATGTTTTAGGCTGCTAGTGAGGCTTTTGGTGTGCTACAGAGGTCAATTAAGACCTAGAAAGGGCAAAGGAGGTGATTTCTCATGGTAAGGGTTGGTTCAGGGCAGTAGAGGAGTAGTAGTAAAATAAAAAAGAGTAGACCCCCTATGCAACACTGTCACCAGGTTATCATTAATCTCAATGGTTGGGTGAGTCATCCTGAACAGATACTTGAAGTCCTCTACATGCTCACATGTACACTTGTGAGAATCCAGATTGTTTCTCATATGGGAATGTTGTTCTGGTTTCTGGTATTATTTCCAGTTCCCTCATTGAAAGGGACGTGACTGGTGATAGAGTCAGTTTTATAGCATGTTAGCCACAGGAGAACAACAAAGAGATTTAAAAGGCACTCTAAAGGCACTGAACCAATGAGAGCATAATACAGACTAGTCTTATATACAAATTTATTTTATGTTTCATCCCTCATGAACTTTCTGCAACTTAACCTAGATTGTCTGTGATTTAAATAACATTCTGATTTTGCCCTCATCTTTTTAATATTCTGGAATGATATCATTTTAGCATATAAGATTCTTTCTTTTCTGAAATATTGTCTTTTTGATCCTTTTTAACTAAAACTATACTCAAATTTACATTTTCTTTATATCACTTATTTTCTACTTACTGTTTTTTTCTCTTTTTCTGATTTTCTTCCCAAATATCAGCACCAACCTGTAGCACAAGAAAGGCTTATTGGAATCAGTGTGTAATGTGGATTATTTGTTCTTATTGAGCACCATTGCACAAATAAAAGCAATCATTTTGGTGAGTTGTCTTGATGTCCATGCAAGCAAAGCTGAATGTTAATAGTGTCTGTTTGATTAAAAAAAACAGCATAAGTTTTACTAGCTTTTGGGGTCCTGAAGAGATTCTTTATAGATTCTTAGTATCCTGAACAAAGAATTGGACAAGACCTGTGAAAAAAGATCGCTAAGATTTACATATATTGAAGGTGGGAAAGAAGAATGCTCTGCAGAACAGGTCACTGAGAAAGTTTGCAGTAGCCCTGAGGTTAATGGCAGGAATCTTTTGTGTCTCCCATTCTTCAGCTTGATGTCAAATCTAAGCTGTCCTATAGAAAACCTACTTGATTTTGTTCCAGATATAAATGATAAATGATGAAGACAATAGTTTCTGGTTGGTCCCAGATGCAGGGCTTGAGCACTGTGTTAGGTGTATATGTCCTGGAGTTCTTTGATTAACAGACCATGCCCATTTTCTCAGCCCATTTGCCCTTCCTTAATCTCCTATCTCATAAACACTTATTTTTTGAGTTTCCTTACATAGATACTATCATCAGTAAACCACATTACATATGAATTATCAAGAGACTAGTCTTCCAGGACTTACTGGATGCCTAAGTCCAATTAACAATATCAAGAAAATGATGGGCAAACTCAGAATCATTTTCCTCCTGACCAGATGGATTGAGCTCAAGAGTGGAATCAGAGTAATGGGATTAAATGTAGAACATATATGGAGACACTTCGGGATGATCAAGCAATAAAACTCGATAGCATGAAAAGACAAAAGTCTCAGCCAATAAGATCCTTAGAACTACAACAAATCACTTAATGAGAAAGTAGTTAGACGGGAGATCCAAAAGTAAACTTCATGGGCTCTTAAAACAAACAAACAAAAAAAAAAAAACAGAAGCAGCTATTGCCCTGATACATCCTGGCCATTGCTGCACTACTGTGTCTAACTGCTTTGATTATATATCTTTCATGTCTTTGAATACACCCTAAGACAATGATGGTGAACCTTTTAGAGCTTTCAGTGACACAAACAGCCCACTGCAGCAAGTATGCCGTAGTTTCACCATCACTTTCATAAAGCCTGGGAAAGAAGCCCTAAGCCACACCTTGATATTCAGTTACATATAAGTTGAAATGTTTGTCAGGTTGTGGCATTTCCAAAGTGAGGGCTTTGAGGATAGAGGTTTATACTTTATTATAACTTTATTGTTTTTGCTCCCAGGAATGGGGAGTTTAGTTATTATTTCCTTCTAGGGACTTATATAGGGTTGTAGTCAATAGGAGTACATATCTAGGCACTCACAGCTGACAGTAGCCAGTTAAGCCTCAGAAAGCACAAATTTGCTGTCTTGTGCTAGAAGCTAAAAGATCTTGGATGACTTGTATATACTCTGTTGAAAGAGCTCAGTGCCCTGGGGTTAAAACAAACCTAGATAGTGAACTTTGGGGGGCCATAATTTGACCTTTGACTTTAAAATTCAGTATCCCATTGGCCAGGAAATTGAAAATCTGAACCAAATAATCTTAAGTCTCTGTTAGAGAAGGAGAACAAACAAGAAGGCCGCCACCTGCATTTTGTATAATAGACTCATTTGTTGAGTTTAAATCATAGATGTTTGTAGTTAAATGTTGTCCAAAAAGAATAGGGGTTGTTCTGGAATCCTTGAGGAAGACAATCAATGTAAGCTATATGTTTTAATCTATCTCATGAGTCTACTCAAAGACAAAAAAGAATTGGGACCGGGGAGCCATTTCAGATGCAAAAAAAGCATATTTAAGGTCCAAGACTATAAACCACTGGATATTTGAAGGAATTTGACCCAGCAGCAAATAGAGGCTAAGTACTACTGGATGTGTAGAAATAACTACCTAAACAGTAGTCACTGTTGGATTTTTATGGCAAAGAGTTGGAGTATTTCAAGGTGACTAAGATACTAAAAGCCCATTGTGAATGAACTTATTAGAGGTGTGGCCCTGCTCAGGCTTCAAGCTAAAGGACTAGTTGTGGTATGAGAAGACATGAGGATCTTGTAGTATAATTACTAGCAGGATAGCAGTAATAGCTTTTCCAGGCATATTGGGATTCATACCTGAAGTTTAATAGAAAGGTTAATGAGGATAGAGTCATTTTCAGCATTTCTAAGACAGGCAATCACTTGCTATAATTGTGGAGTTGCTAGGTGAGCTAGAGATAATTTAGGCATCCAACTTTGTTAATAAGTCTCAGCAAAGTGACAGAACTGGACATTCAGGCATTACCAACAAGGCATGGGCAAGGATAAAATTATTTCATAAATAGTGCAAAGGAGGAGTAGAGCTAGAGCGTATGGTCACCAGAGTCGCACTGTTATCCCAAACCTATTGAGTTGAAAGCCAATTTTCTGTGATAGGAGAGAAAACAATATAATAGGCCCCACAGTTGAGGAAGCCAGTGATCTTACCTGTGACCCAGTGTTATCCCAAGCTCCATCTTGCTGATGCTGATGAGGCTGGGGACTGACAAGAGCCTTGGGCCTCCTTATTCGAGAGACAAAAACTGGGACTCTGGAGCAAGGGTCCTTTATATCTTGGAACAAGAAACCCTTCAATAAGCCCTCTGTCTTGCTACATTTAAAGGCCAGGACATCCAGCATCAGGACAGTCTCTTTTCCAATGGCTATTCTATCACAGACATGATACTTATCAATTAACTTGCGTTCTTTAGGATAATATTTGGTTCCCGTAATAAATTAAGAAGCTCTACATGCTTTTTGTCCTCCTGCTCTCATTA